CCGGGGTGGCCCCCAGGCCCCCGAGCGTTGCTTGGGTGTGTCCCCAAATTTAAGCAGATCAAGAATAAAGCACTTCTATTTATTTTATGTCTGCTACCAAGTAAGGTTGCAGCCCTGTCGAAAAATTGTGAGTTTTCATTTCAGTTCTGTTTCGATGTGTTATCCAGAGCTAGGCCAGTGGGCCAGATTTTTTTTTTTTCTCAGCTGTCTGATTTATTGTATGAGACCAAGACACTGGTAAGGAAGCTGGAGGAGCTGCTTCCCTCACGGGCTGGATTTCAGGGACCAAAAAAAAAAAAAAAAGGATTATTTCTTTCATTTTGCTTTCCTCCTTCCTTCCCGAGTGTGTGTGTGTGTGTGTGTGTGTGTGTGTGTGTGTGTGTGTGTGTTTATGCAAACTCATCTCCTTCACAAGCAAGCCTTGCAAGCCTTGTCAGCTGTAACAAAAACCTCAAGGAAACAAATTATGGCAAGCCATCAGACAGCTGGTGGTAATTTACTCATACAAACCCCCTAATCCTTTCAACACCCACTATTTATGTGTCTCTGATGCTGGGGAGGGGAGGTTTATAAGATATGTGCTATGTAAATTTCTGGGAAGGGGGTTGGACCAGATAGGAAAGATTTGTGTGCATGTCTGGGATAATTCTTGCTTTGAAAAGAGAAAATCATCTTTCAGATGGCAGGGACTCTGTGAGCTTAAAAATAATTTCTAGAATCAAACACAATAGAAAATAAATATGTAAATAACTTTCAAGGGGCTGAAACGATAGTACAGCGGGTAGGGTGTTTGCCTTACATGCGGCCAATTCGGATTCGATTCCCAGCATCCCATATGGTCCTCTGAGCACCACCAGGAGTAATTTCTGAGTGCAAAGCTAGGAGGAACCCCTGTGCATCGCCGGGTGTGACCCAAAATTTAAAACAACAAAGAAAAACTTTCAAAGCATTTTCAACAGCTGTGCCATCACTGAGACCTTTTTTTTTTTAATTTTTTTTTTCTATGACAGGTTCAGCAATTCAGTCCAGGGCCAAGGGGTATGTGTCAGCCTCTGTGCATCGCTTTCAAACACAGGGGTGGGGAATGTTGACATAGTACAGGAGGTGAAGGGCATGACTTGCATGTGTCTGACCCAGGTTCGAATCCCTGGCATCACCTGTTTCATCTGAGTACCATCAGAAGTGACCCCTGATCACAGGGCCACGAATAAGCCCTGCGCAGCACAGGGTGTGGTCCCAAAAATAAAAAATAAAAATAAAATAAAACATCCATGGGGGTGATAACTAAACGTAGTTACTTGTGTGTGATTCTGGCTGAGGGCTTAGTCTAAATTTTGAATTAGCAACACCTTATCAAGGCCGAGGCAGCCTTGGTCCCTCTTTGTTTCAAATTTCTAAGTTTTTGTGATTGAGGCATTGACCAAGATGCAGTTCTCTGGCTTTAAAATTCTGGGAGACACTGAGAACCCCTGGTATTCTCTCTCCTCTACAGAGAGGATATTGGGGATCTGTGTATATAAGGTTTTTTAAAAAATTACATCTATATGAAAACACACTCTGTAACACTTTCCATTTTGAAAACTATCTTAAAATGTTAAGTGCATGGTCAGGATGATATCACTTGTATGAGGTATTTAGAATAACTGGATGAGGCAACGCAATGTTTGAAAGGAGTGATGCCCCGACCAACCTTAGACGCAGAGTATAGAAAGGAGAAGGAGAGAAAGAGTGGAGGGAAGAAAGAAGAGACAGATGAGTAGCAACAGGGTCCAGGCCAAGGGAGTCAGGTACAAAGGCGATGGTGAGGTATGATAGAGCCACAGAGTCAACTAATAAAGAAGACCCAAACTTTCACAACCAAACTTAGAAAGGGGCCTGTCAAAAGGGCAGGCTGGAGGGGCTGGAGTGATAGCACAGTGGGCAGGGCATTTGCCTTGCACGCAGCTGAACCAGGTTCGATTCCCAGCATCCCATATAGTCCCCCGAGCACCGCCAGGAGCAATTCCTGAGTGCAGAGCCAGGAGTAACCCCTGTACATCGCCGGGTGTGACCCCCCCCCAAAAGAAAAAATATATAAAGAGGGCAGGCTGGAGGGGTGAGGGATTTGGGATATGAGAGGAAGTCTGGGAACACTGGAGGAGGGATGTTGACACAGGTGGTGAGATCAATACTTCAAATTGTGGAAAAAATGTTAAGAATATGGAAAGTTCCAAAATTACAGCAATGAAGTTCTGTAAATCCTTTACTTGATTTACAGAGACTACAAAACCCAGCTCCCGGAAGCACGCGGCCACACTTTCTCGGTCATGCGACATCTTATTATCTCATTCCTACTTTGGACAAACTGGCAGGCTACTGAATGTAACCTGCTCATATGGCAGAGTCTGGCAATCTCCCCGTGGTGTACCCAATATGCCAAATACCAGTAACAATTGATGGGTCTCATTCTCCTAACCCTGAAAGAGCCTTGTATATGGCACTTTTTAAAAAAAATCTCAGGGCTGGGACGAAGGAGACGTTACTGGGGCCTGCTCGAGGCAATCGAGGCAATCGACGAGAATAACAGGATGGTCGTGATTTACAAGTGTGAATGTTTGACCCTATGTGATATTTTATTTTCTTCTCACCTTGCATACACACACACACACACACACACACACACACACACACAATTTTGCCTTTGATGTCACACCCAGCAGTGCTCAGGGGTTACGTCTCACAGTGCTTGGGAGACCAAGTGGGTTTTCATGCAAAGCACGTGCTCTAGTCCCTGGGTTATCTCCTAGTCCCCTTCATATACACACAACTCTTGGGGAACCATTTGAAAGTCAGATATACATTTCTTATCCCCAAATATTTCAGTATCTGTTAAGACATGAAAATTGCCAAGTGTTTACTGCTTCTCTCTGGCTTCAACTTTTGCCACTACGAAATTGAATCTGAAGTATTTACATTGACTTTCTTGACTAATATCCGGAGTGAAGCCTATCTGACTTAGCTCAAGATAAATTCCCACTTTCGTATCCACTTAGAACTACTTGTACACACATTCTGAGACAGCCTCAAAAAAAAAAAACTCTTGCAATCCAGAAAAAAAAAAATGAAATAATGAGGGAAAAAAGCCCATATTTTCTATCCTATGCATGTGTTTTATTTTTCACTTTAGCATAAAACAAACCAAAATATCAAGTGGTTGAATCTCTATTAAACATCTGGCACTCATAGCCAGACAAAATGAGCGGCCTCTCTAGTTCTTTATCCTTGCTAAGTTCAAGTGAGTATAGAGACTCTGAAATTGCATCCTATTCAATGGGGTCAGATAGTATAGTAGGTAGGGTGCCTGCCTTGCATTCAACCCACCCGGGTTCGATCCTTAGCGACCCTCAGGGTCCCCTGAGCACTGCCAGGTGTGAGTCCCCTGCAGAAAAAGACAGCACAGGTGATGGGTATGGTATTGAAATTACATCCATGATAAATCATTATTAGAAGGATTGTAAACCAAAAAGTAAATTTTTAAAAAAATCTAAAAGACCATTTTATTCTAGATCACAGCAGTTCATGAAAAGAATAAAAAGGGGTGGGTGTCAGCATGACAGCCGAGTGCGAGACCAGCTGTCCAAGGTCCAGCTGCACATGAAGTTCATGCAAAGGAGACTGGACTCAGAAACCAACAACTAGAAAAAGAAGAAAAGAAAGTAATTAGTGAAGAGCACTGGTATCTGGATTTTTCCAGAGCTGAGTTTTATCATCGAAGAGCAGTGTTTTTTGTTATGTGAAGATCTTCTCTATGGGAGAATGTCATTCAGGGGGTATAGTCAGCCTGTACCTCGGGACAAGGGCATCAGCAGCCCGATGGTGCCTTCAGGCTTCCTGATACCCCGATATTGTTGCTGTGCCTTTGGCTGGACCCCCAACAACTTGGGACCAAGTTTCCTGAGAAATTAAACAGCCAAAAGTTAGGTATGTGGGAATCACACCTACAAACCACCTCTGGCTCAGCTATATAAGCGCATTTATCAACCTTGCTTCAGAGACCCCTAAATAAATCTCGAAAGAGATCAAAAACAGGCCATTTAAGCGCATTAATGGCCATGAGTCAGACTCTCACAAATGAATCTCAAAAGAGAGCAGCACACCTCAGAGATGCCTCCAGACCCCAAATATTTAAAAATTTTAGAATTCCAGGAGCACGCAGTCACTTTCAGTGCCACGTGACACTTCTTACTATTCATGGCATGGCAAGCAATATGAACTAAATTATTTAGCATCTGCCTAAGGGGCAGGCTGGGGTGGTGAACAACTTTATGAAAATAAAATTTAAAAATTCAAAAAAACGTAATGTGGAGTCAATGCCTGCTTCAATCAGCTTAATCAGTAGCTGAATAAACAGCAGTACTCGAACATTAAAAAAAAATGTCATTCAGAGGATTTATTCCTAGAATTGAGAAATTAATGCATCAGATGAACTCCAAAAACAAAGAAGTTGAAAATGAAACAGTGGGACTCAATGTGTCTGATGAAGAAATGACTAGAAGGTATGAGACCTTGGTGGGAACAATTGTGGGGAAAATTGCCAAAAAGAGAGACTGGGGGGCTGGAGCGATAGCACAGCGGGTAGGGCGTTTGCCTTGCATGCAGCCGACCTAGGTTCGATTCCCAGCATCCCATATGGTCCCCCGAGCACTGCCAGGAGTAATTCCTGAGTGCATGAGCCAGGAGTAACTCCTGTGCATCGCCAGGTGTGACCCAAAAAGGAAAAAAAGAGAGAGAGAGAGAGAGAGACTGGGCCAATTTTGAAGAAGATAAAAATGGAGACACAAAACCTATTAAAACAAAAAAAATGTTCATAAAAACCCCAAGTTTGAAATGGGTGCCTTGCAATCTGGCTCAGGGATGCCTTGTAAGCATTAGCTGCCATTTTGGAGAACTTATTCTGATGGTTTCTCTTTCAAGTCATTAATATTATGTTTATTTATAAAGAAGCAAATAATATTGGAAACATGCTGGTTTGGAAACTGATGGGTGGCGTGAAGAAGCTGTGCACTGCAACCAGACCAACCGTGGCGCTACTCGAGGTCCACCAGTTGCTGTTCCAGCGGCTGGCGTTCAAGATCGCCCAGGACTTCAAGACCGACCTGCACTCCCAGAGCTCAGCCGCCAGGGCACTGCAGGAGGTGTGGGAGGCCTACCTGGTGGGGCTCTTCGAGGACACCAACCTCTGCGCATTCCCCGCCAAGTGCGTCACCATTATGCCCAAGGACATCCAGCTGGCATGTCACATCCGCAGTTTACGATGCTAAAATCTCAGGGCTGGGACAAATGAGATGCTACTGGAGCCCACGCGAGTAATCGATGATTAACGGGATGACAGTGACAGTGACAGATTTCTTTAACACACAATCCTGTTACTAACCTTGGCTTAATTCGTAATATCGATGTTTAAGATGCTCGTATATTTGATTTTACCTTATTAATTTAGGTGAAGCCGGGTGATGCCTGCATTTTGAAATCAGCCCCGAGAATTTTTGATGTGTAAACGCAGCAACAGCAAGCATTCCTCAACAGCGGGACAGGTGTGTGTGCTCTCACAGCACTATCAGTTAACAAAACTGGGAGTTGGGGTTAAAGCCATTCATAAAAACAAAAAGTTTAGGGCCAGAGTGATAGTACAGCAGGTAGGGTGTTTGCCTTGCACGCGGCCGACCTGAGTTCGATCCCCAGCCTCCCATATGGTCCCCCGAGCCCCGCCAGGAGTAATTCCTGAGGACAGAGTCAGAAGTAAACCCTGAGTATCGCTGGGTGTGACCCAGAAAGAAAAAAAAAGTTATATAATAAAATTTTTTTTCATCATGATCACGACGATCACAACCATCCTGTTGTTCGTCGATTGCCTCGAGCAGGCCCCAGTAACGTCTCCTTCATCCTAGCCCTGAGATTTTTAAAAAGTGCCACATTCAAGGCTCTTTCAGGCTTAGGAGAATGAGACCCATCATTGTTACTGGTATTTGGCATATTGGGTACGCCACAAGGAGTACCCAATCTTTTTTTCATTAAATTTTTTTCATTAAAAATTTTTTCATTAAAAAATTAAAAATTAATTTTTCATTAAAATTTTTCATTAAAATTAAATAAAAATTAAAAATTAAATTTTTATTAAAAAATTTATTAAAAAATTAAAAATAAATTTTTTTAAAAGAACGAATACTGGGGCTAGAGCAATAGCACAGCGGGTAGGGCGTCTGCCTTGCACGCGGCCAACCCGGGTTCGATTCCCAGCATCCCATATGGTCCCCTGAGCACCGCCAGGGGTAATTCCTGAGCGCAGAGCCAGGAGTAACGCCTGTGCATTGCCAAGTGTGACCCAAAAATTCGTCGATTGCCTCGAGCAGGCCCCAGTAACGTCTCTTTCATCCTAGCACTGAGATTATATTCAAGGCTATTTAGGAGAATGAGACCCATCATTGTTACTGGTATTTGGCATATTTGGTATGCCACGGGGAGTTTGCCAGACTCTGCCCTGTGGGCAGGCTACATTCGATAGCCTGCAAGTTTGTCCAAAGTAGGAATAAGACAATAAGATGTCATAAAAAGATGTCCTGATAAGATGTCGCAAGGCAGGCAGCGAATGCGGCCGCGCGGTTCCGGGATCTGGATTTTATAGTCTCTGAGTCTTGGCCGCTGATGGGATTACACGGCGCCAGGGGGCCAGGTGGTGGGTGTGACCCCCGCCTACTGGAATTTGGAGGATCTGGGTGGAAGATGCTCGACTCCAATTCGAGTAGGCTTGGAGGTCTCGGCCCCGGAACCCGCGTGGCTTTGTCCCTCTGCCAGTACCTTCATGTGTGCGGAGAGTGGTCTCAGCATGGTGGTGGCTGGTCCTGGAGGTCTTCGGCTGCCGTAGCCCTGGTCGGGGCGGGGAGGAAAGCTCAACCCGCTCCCCTCCAAGGGGCTCCGGGAAGGAACACCCAGGCGCGGGGGCAGAGACTGCACTGTTCTCGTCCGGGATCTGGATTTTATAGTCTCTGCCCCCGAGACCTCCAAGCCTACTCGAATTGGAGTCGAGCATCTTCCACCCAGATCCTCCAAATTCCAGTAGGCGGGGGTCACACCCACCACCTGGCCCCCTGGCGCTGTGTAATCCCATCAGCGGCCAAGACTCAGAGACTATAAAATCCAGATCCCGGACGAGAGCAGTGCAGTCTCTGCCCCCGCGCCTGGGTGTTCCTTCCCGGAGCCCCTTGGAGGGGAGCGGGTTGAGCTTTCCTCCCCGCCCCGACCAGGGCTACGGCAGCCGAAGACCTCCAGGACCAGCCACCACCATGCTGAGACCACTCTCCGCACACATGAAGGTACTGGCAGAGGGACAAAGCCACGTGACCCAAAAAGCAAAAAAAAAAAAAAAACCACAAAAAGAACAAATACATCCACTATGATTTTTTTTTCAACTGAAATCTTCCATTGGGGAGGAGCCAAGAGGGTGCTCCAAAGCCTAACTGCTCAGGAAGCCTAAATTTTTATAATTTGTTTATTTTGTATTTAATTCATGAATTGCAAAATTATTGATAGTTGGGTTTTAGGGATATAGTATTTTCAACTTTTATTGTCAACTTCCCTGCACCAGTGTCCCCATATTCCACTCACAATCCTTGGCCAGTCCGGGAATGGTTCAGTACAACGTCTGGACAAGATACTCGGCCAAGAGACTCAGGATACCTGAGCCCTCTGGGCAGAACGGGAGACCTTAAGGGCCACACGGTGCAGTGCTTGGTGACCCTCTAGGGCTGCATTTGGTGATGCTCAGGGGACCATGAGGTGCCAGAAACTGAACTGAGTCAGCACATGCTAGCCACATGCCCTAACTGCTGTACTATTTTGTTCCTCTCCACTAAAATCTTTTATTAGGAAAAAAAAGCATTCCGTGTTTAGGCTAGACCTGTGATAGAACAACAAGCAGAAGAATACCACTGACTCTAAGCCGAAGGCTGGGGAAAAAAAAAAACAGAAAATGAATGTAACCTCTAATTACTGGCTCTGGCAAATTCTCAGATGTGGAAGATATGGGGTAGGGTTAAAGGTCAAGAGGTCAAAGTGCTGATGGGTTATTTCAGAAGGTTCAAGGGATTTTCATTCAGCTGTGACTGTCTCCAGGGCTGGACCTTGGGCCAGAGGAGTGTGACACTCACTGCAAGACGTAAGGAATGAGAAAAACTTACGAATATTTAACAAAACATTTAAAAAATGCAAGAATTCATAATAAACAAAAGATCACCATTTCAAAATGAAGACCAAATCCGCCTCTCTTTGCTTGCTCCTGGGAGTATCTGGTCACTCTGACAAGGTCCCTTGCTCATCCCACACGAGTGACAAGCCTCGAACCTTTAAATGAGCGGCCAGATACCAGGTGGCCCCTTTCAGGCACCAACTCTGGGCTCATCTCTCCCGAGCTCCTTCCCTAAAGGTGCAAGTCTCTGTGAATAGGAGCACTGAGCGAGGATAAAGAAGAGTGGGGTGGAAGGGATCAGGGCATCAGCTGCTGCTAATGTAAATGCAGTGCCTGTTTGCACAAATCCACCCTTGGAAGAAAACCCTGAGCCCCAACTCTCCTTTTGAGGCTGTTACGGTTCACTTTGAAAATCAAAGTAGCCTTGAGGCATCCCCCAGGCAAGCTCCAGCGAATTCAGCAGCTCGGGTAACGCTGCCCAACCGGATTCCTTTGGAAACCGCAGCCCCGCCAGGTCCAGGGGCTGGAAGACACCTACCGCGCCCCCTGCTGGTAGAACTGATCTGCCAGAATCGGCCTCAGGGAAGGCTCACAGAACGCTCCTAAGTGCTCATAAAGGACTCAGAGATCTCACACCGCCCTGCTCCCTTCTTTCATGGTATCTGGACATTGTCCTTTTCTTCCAGATGCCTGGTTCCTAGTGGTGGGCAGCCTGGTCACCTTGGCTCTTAATGCCTTGGTCACGTGGCTCTGAATGCCTGCATAACAGGACGGGCTTTCTTTCCAGATCTGAGTACTTTGTGCCCATTTCGTTCTTCTTCTCCTTCCCCTCCTCCTTCTCGTAGTCCTCATCCTGCTCCTCCTCCTTCTCCTCCTCCTCTTCTTCTTCCTCCTTCTCCTCCTCTTCCTCCTTCTCTTCTTTCACCTTTTATTTTCATTTTGGTTTGGGGGCCACACCCAGCAGTGCTCAGGGCTTACTCATGGCTCTGTGTTCAGGGATCACTCTTGGGGGTTAAAGGATGCTGGGGATTGGCTACGTCGTGTGCAAGACCAGCGCCTTATTCTCTCTCTCTCTCTCTCTCTCTCTCTCTTTGAAAAATAAAAACACAAGAAAATCGGCTACACTAGCAAGCGACAGGGACAAATGGAGACGTTACTGGCGCCCGCTCGAGCAAATCGCCGACTAACGGGAAGTTAAGTGATTAAGCGATTAAGAAAAACCTGCAGTTAGATCGGGACACTGATGTCCCAGCTCTGAACCCAGCCTGGAGAGCTGAACCATCACCCAGTCCTCCACTCAGGTCCAAACTTAAAATGTGACCAGGGGCCCAGTGCCTTGGACACAGGGTGGGGCCTTGGTCCTTCAGGCTTCTAGCTGCTCTTTCAGAACAGAGTCCAGCATCTGTCCATACACTGTTACCTGTGAGACGGGGCAGATCTAGCTGGGAAACTGTCCTAGGAGGGTGAGATGAAAGAAGGGATGTTCTTAGAGGGAGGTGAGCTACACAAAAGTCTTACATTTCACCGAAAGAATCTGAAGGCTGAGAAAAGCAAGTCCCTGGGTCCAAAGAGAAGACAAAAAGAAAGGCAAAACTGTGACAGAGTTTGACATCGCCACGGAGACAAAAACCATCCCTTGTTTTCAGTGTTAGAAAACCCAATAGCTCAATGCTGACTTCAGTGTGGTTTCTTCCTTTCTGATTTTGTACTCATGTGGGCCAGTGTGATATCTAACTGACTGAGCATGTTAGAAATACACATGAAGTTTGCAGCACTCTTCACAATAGCCAGAAACTGGAAGAAACCTGAATGCCCAAGAACAGATGACTGGTTAAAGAAACTTTGGTACATCTGCACAATGGAGTACTATGAAGCTGTTAGAAAAGATGAAGTCATGAATTTACATACAAGTGGTACAACATGGAAAGTATCATGCTAAGCGAAATGAGTCAGAAAGAGAGGGATAGACATAGAAGGATTGCATTCATCTGGGGGATATAAAGTAACAAAGTATGAGATTAATACCCAAGAATAGCTGAGATCAGCACCAGGAGGATTACTACATAGCTTAGTGGCCAG